AACAAACTTATGCCTGTGAAAGAGGGTTCATGGGAACCTAAACAGTGTCTTTAGTTTTCTTCCCAAGGTGCTGTTATATTTCTCTACACCTGCCAGTAAGTGCCTTCCAGAAAGTATAATGTTTCTCAAATGACAATTACCATACACAGTGTCTCTCTATCTATTTTTGTTCCTCCTTGCTATCAGATGGGGTTATCCTGAAAAACCTAGAGCTGAGACAGAAATACTCTATGCTTCTCAAAGGCTCTTGCAAAATTCTGCAGAACTGAATTTGCTATGGCAAATTTCTAGCTGATTTCAGTGAGACCAAAATTTCAGCCACTGTCAGCCACAGCACAAGTCACAAGCACACTAAATTTCCATGCCCCATGGCACTCTACCAGTGACTACCTCCTAGAAAATATCCTTCTCTACTTGCCTGCAGAGCTGAAACTGGTAACTCACGTGGGTGAATGTAACTGTTCTGAAGCCAATAACTTATTTTGTGTAGGTAAAAAGAGATAAAGAGGTAACAATAAGGAGATGTCAGACGGGTAAATCTGTTTTAAGCAGGATTCTGAATTGTATTCAAAGGGTTCATCCAAGAGGTATTAAATACTCTGTAGCCCATCACCAACCTTTTGAAAATGTAGTCTTCATAAACCATCAGCACTGAGGAATGATGGCAGACATCTAACATCTAGTGGCTAGGATGTAAGTGCTCTTCTGTAATCTGTTTTACTGCATTCTCTTAACAATAAGATTTTGCACTTTCAGTGCATTAAAATCAAAATTGCTTTTTGTGGGTAACATCCATTTGATCTGTCTTTAGCCACCTAAAAGCTAAGCATCTAGCTTAAGTCAGCTGTCTGAGCTCTCTCTTTGATAGAGAGAAACAGGCAGCTCTTGGGTGCATTAATTTTGTCACAAGATGGGTAAACTACCTTCTGGAGATGCCTTTCTGTTTCCTTTGACACTACAAAGGGCCCAGACATCAGGTGGAGACTAAACTTCTAGTTTTAACCTGGCTGAATTTAAATTAAATGAATTCTGTCCCCTGAGGAGTAAATACATATCTCATAAAAGAATACAATTTTGGTATCATATTGGATAAAAAGAACACTAAGAATCACTGCTGCTTAACTTCCATCCAGAAATAACCTTTAATTATTTCCGGTGTCTGATCACTGCTAATACTTCACGTTTCTGCAGTGCTTTCCACCTGAAGACCACAAATCATTTTGCTGACATTAATTTATTCCCATGAAGTACCTGTGAGCACTGGTTAGCTAAGGATAAGCACAGGAATCTGCTTTTGAACAGAGTAATCCAGGCTTTCACCCTCTTCTCCCTGCCTGGCCAAGAATACCAAACAGCACCGCTCGGTGGTGCAGGACCAGGGCTTCGCTCCAGCTTTCTGCCTTGGATGCGTGGGCTGGCTTAGCAGCACCCTTTCCTCTTGTAACAAATCAATGCTTGTCACTATACGATCCAAATCCTGCCCTACGCTCATGTAAGTAATTAACATACCAGCGACTCAGTTCAAAGCTGGAACCGTTCCTTTAGCAACACATCCTATTGTCTCTTGTGACAACTCCTACCAGCACCACAAAAAACAGGGTGAGGTTCAACAGCAGTTACGGCTACAGAAGGGATGTTTTGCCATTGGTACATACCGTCCCATCCCTTGTGTGATTTAGAAGTTGTCAAGCATTTGGGGAAAGATTTACCTAGCGAGGTTTTGCAGGTAATTCTGCATCATCCAGTCACTACAGTCTATTTTGTCATGTTTGCTAATCACTATGGATAAGAAAGATAGTACAAATACTTCCTGAGCTAATTATGCCTGAAAATAGTTTCAAACTGTCTAATAAACTGAGAACGGACAGGGCCACCGCGTTCTCCTCCAAAGGCATTTGACACCCAGCTAACTGAGAAATTGAGCAAGACTACAATTGCTAACAAGGCCAGCACAGTGGCAAGGAGCAAAACTGCCTTCTAAGCTGCTTCATACATTATCATTGCTGGACAAATTCAAATTCCAGCTGCCTTTGCTTCTGACAACATTGAACCGAAACAAAACACAGCTTGATTTGCAGACATCCGACTAATACTGCCATGCTGGCACTTAGAAAAACCTTGCCATTAACCTATAAACAGATTATTCCATACTTGAGAACCATATAAACTTTTCAAAGTTTTAAGTGTCAAGATCCAAGTTCTCAGATAGTTCTCTTCAGAAAATAACTCTTTGTTTTTAAAATAGTGTTCAGCTTGTTGCCTAAACGAGCTCCATCAGAGCTGCTGACTTTAAGCATAATCCTAAAAGAGAGGTGAATGGTTTTATCCTAATTTTCCTTTTACAACTTTCTTCTCAAATCAGGACTAGTTGATCTGCATTAAAACCGCTCATGTTTGTTACAAAAGTTAACCCTGAAACTATCCTGAATATTTGTGTGTCCTTTATAATGTTATGGGAGTTAACAAAATCTACTTGTTCCATGTTGCTCTAGGAGCTCCAGGTATGCAGATATGAATAACAAAATTCTGACTTTTCATTTCTAGGTATAAAAACGCATACTTTTAAATCTAGAGGTTCCTACTTTGGTTATTAGATATGATTCAAGAGAGTCACAGCCAAACTACAAGAGGATGTGTACTTTCCTCTAGTTGGACATTGTTTAATTACAATATATTCTGCTAAGTGCTTAGATGCAAGTCTATCTTCGTAACTTTACGGTATCATGTTGTTTTTAAAAAAGCTTACTAACAAAATTTCCAGCTTTGATGAAGAGCTGACAGGTTTCTCTCCATAATGGAGCTTGCTCCATTTTTGATAACCTGGAAGGCTATCTAGCACACATGATATTTTTCTCAGTTGCCTGATTGCACTGTGCATGTATGCCTTTTTGTTTGTCCACACATAGAAAATTCAGTTGGTTTCAGTAAACCAACAAGAGCTGTCACAGACGGGATTATGCTATGGAACAATGTTTGAAATGGTCTCCTTGGCAGACAGAAATTGTTTGGAAGAGTTTCTTGGTGCCTACTCCCCCTTCTTCTTCCCCCCTAGATGGATGAGTTTCCCATTCACTTGGACAAGAATCAGAATCTAAGTAATTGGCGAGATCTGAAGCCAAAGGATGCAGCATCTGTCCCATCTGGGGATGTGCAGAAAAGGAACATTCTTTGTGTTCCTTTTTAGGGTTTTCCAATTTTCCCCTTTCTTTGAGGGACACTTAACCAACTTGTTACTTGATTTCTTAACTTGGCACAATGTGTGTTCTACTGCCTTTAAAAAATTCCTTCTGGATTTATGCGTATCACATACTGAGCTCCACATGCTGGGAACTCCCATCAATTGTTCTGCATGATTTTTCATGGTAAAGGCACCCTCAAGAACTGGCAGACCATTCTTCCCTAAAGACTTAGGGTCAACTTGGTACAGAAAGCCTCAACAAAGCGGATTTGTGCATAAGATCAGCACAGGGGAAGAAAAAAAAAACCTCCTGCACGACAGGGGCAGATGAAATAACACCAGCCCTGGGACCCTCTGTTCTCGTCTCTTCTCAACACACAAATTATAGAATTATAGATGAGGGTTCAACACCATCCAAACCGCACCTATGATGAAGTAACTGCAAGTGCAGGATGCCAGAATTGCTGCCGCATGGCATCCAGGGCTACAGCTGGTGAGGAATTTAGCAACAAAACAGGTTTTCAATGGAAAATGCCAATTCATCAGAACTGAAATGCTTCAGGGAAACGTATCAGATTCAATGAACTTCCAACAAAACACGGGAAGGGCTCCAAGCTGGTCTCCCGCCAGCTCGCCTGGTGGGCTGTCTGGAAGCATGGACTCTGAGGGTGTGCAACTCTAGGACAGCCCTGCCATGCAGATTGCCTTGTAGCCAGAGACCATAAGGCTTCCTGAAGCTTTGGCCTCCCCTGGTATATCAAGGGCACGGCTCCCAGCTCTACAAAAGGAAAACCAAAAGCCATGGGAATGCTGGCTGAGCTGTAGGCACCAGACCCTACACTTCCAAGCCCAATTTTATTTCCAGTTTTGCTGCTAGTGTAATGTTTTTGGTTATTTCTAATTATTTCCTCCTCCCTCATTTTTTCCCTCTACACTGGAAAAGTATATATTTTAAAAATCTCTGTTTCATTCTGAAACAGAGAAAATTCTCTTTTTTCCTCCCTCCGGCTTTCGGAATCTCCTGTAGAACAAAATTTTGGTCTTTAAACCAGCTCTACTCAGCACATTCCACCTCTCTGCAGCTTCTCTGCTGCTTGTCCTCTCCCAGCAAAATGGAGTCACACCGTTCTGCTGCTTTCCAGGCCTTGTGTGCTGAGGAAAGGAGGACTTGGCCCATCATGCTGCATTCAGCAAGAGAAACATGATCCTTCTCTGTTAAGGGCAGGAATTATTTAGACTATAATTTGCAGTGATTACACACTGTTCGGTATGTTGTCATATGCCATGTTTGCACTCCACTGCCAACACATGGACAAGGATATGTGCAGTCATTTATTAGGCTTATACCAGAGACAAATGGAATAGCAGCAGGATTAGCTGTCATTCATCTTCGATTGAAAACCTTTCCTTGGCCTGTGGCTGGCTAATGAAATCCACATCGCCAGAATTCATAGCGTTCAGCTGGCTGCAAAGAGAAACCCTCAAGATGCTTTTAATTACAAGTTGTGAATAATGGTCAACTTGTGTGCATTTTACAGACAGACACAAAAATCTGCATTGCCACTTTGAGGAATGAGCCCAGAACTGGGATGATCCACATTATATGGACTTACATTTCCAGGGGATTTATGAATAGGTGTCTAAATTCTCAGCTCAAGTGTCCCCCTTGAAAAAAATGATACTAGATAGTAACTAAGAATATGCTTCTTGCCTGTGACCATATCACTCCATAAGAAAGACTGGCTTCATTGCTTTCACGTGGTATTTAATTGAATTAACAGTAAATATCATTCTCACTGAAACAGTACTTCATTGTATAAGTGAAATCTCTCAGGACTGCAGTAGTACCTAACACATGCTAATGAGTAAATTTTTAACTTCCACTCAGTATTTATCTCTGCCAGGACACTATAGTCTCAGAATAGCTTATCAAAACAAATGTAAGTCTTCTGGTTTAGCATTTTGACAATTTATATGCTTTCTAGGACTTGAAAGACCTGTGAGTCTGCTCTCTCCTCTCCATGTTTCTGCAAAAAAGGTACCAGGTGCCCTGAAGCTTGCAATTTGCTCTTGCTTCTGGTGCTGTGTGGACTCTCCATTCCACCCAGATAAACTCTTACTTGAACACAAAGCAAGCCGAACAAGGTGACATTACACTGCAAATCAGGCCTAGATTTTCAAACCAGGGCCTCCACTGTTGCTATCCCTAGTGAAATGTTTCCGTAATTTGACAACGTCAGCTGATTCCAACTTTTCCTGGCAATTAACTACTACGGTTTTACATATATTGCCCACGTAGACTGGAAGGTGTGTTGCTGCAACCAGGGAAGAAGCGAGTGTTATGTTTAAGAACCGATTTCCTCTCTGTTCTTATCAATTAGTATCAAACAATGACCCTGGGTAAACCTACTCCTACAATAGTGGAAGTGAAAATCACAAGCATATTTGTATATGCAAGCAGTTAATTGCCAGTCGCAGAATGAAACATATTCTAGGACATGTTATGCAAAGATATTCAAATTCACAACTGCAATCTGTCTCCTTGTAGGTTGCAGGGATTTAGATAGTGCTTTGATAAGCACTTTGGGATTCTCAGATCTTGACAGAACTGAAATATATCTTTACTGCCACTGTCATGGGGTTTTCACTTACTGCTGCTCATGTTGCACTTGAGATGTTCTTCAACGAGAAGACATAGATGCGCGCGCACGTGTGCGCGCACACAAACACACACACACACACACACTTGCCCTACCTGCTTTCGTTGTGACTTTCAGCAAATAACCATCCAAATCGATCTGAAATTGTGGTGTCTCGCAAGGTAGTGAGATGCGGGTCCCATTCCACTTCACTGTGAGGTGCTGCTGGAGGCTGATAGTGCTTCTGCCCAGCACAAGGTCCACAGATTTTGTCCAGGAGAAAGAACGGGTCCGACGGGCATCGTTTTTTACCAGCACCTGGAAGGGCGAGGCAGAGGAGGAGCAGTCTTTCGTCAAAACGTACTGACATGTTCCCTGAAAGTTAAATGTCCGTCCATCAAAAGTGTTGTAGTGAGGGTCTCCAAATACAGTGCAAACTCCAGGCTCTGCAGGTGAGTGAGAAACAAAAGCGCCATATCAGGATCGATCGACGTGTGAAAAGAAGCAGTCGACAAGAACTCAGAGCATGCTGTTCTCACCTAATGCCATTTCAGGGTAGATTTGGCTGAGGACTGCAAGGAATATGTATTTTCAAAACCAGAAGGTCTATGTTTTTAGTAGAAGCATTTTTCAAAGCAGGTGGGAACTGAAGGTCACTCAATCTTTGGGTCAGTATGGGAAGGCTAACACGCAGCTAGAATCAAAGGACACTTCTTCCAACCTAAGTGTTTATCATCCATACATACTGTACCACCTGAATAGGTCAGGTTATTACAATGTCTATGCGGCTGTCCAAATTATTTCATTTCCAGAAAATGCAAGCCTCACTCATGATATCAGAGCAACCAGATCCCTGGGCTTTGCAGATTCCACATGTGTCTGGACACATGTGTTGAAAGCCTTCCCACCTATCTTCAGCTTTTGAAAAGTTAAGTGTCTAGTCTAAGCAATTTATCCAGACTCCTTCTCACTGGCAGTGAGAAACAGACACCACCAGGAAGTCTTTCATCTCACCAGCGTAGACTTCACTTTCAACGTGTGGAGAATTGCTCTCTGGAGGTGCCTGTCTCTCTCTGCTGCCTGCACTGCGAGCTTAGACAAGTAGCTTAGACGAGAAGCATTCCTCTCAGACAGTTAAAGTTACTTGTGGTGAACTCCCACCCTTAAGTTCTGTTGCGGGAGCAAAGTCTAATCCATTATCAGTAGAAATCAAAAAATTACATAGATTTTTGAGGCAAGCATGGGTGATCCACTGAAATGAATAGCCACCAGACCACTTCAGCATCTGTTCATATCTCCTATAGGCTCACTTACAAATATTGTGCATTTACAAACTAGGCTCATCCATATTTTTCCCATATTCTCTGTATTACTAGCACTAAGTAGCTTGAAAACCACATCTATCATTGAATCATGAATGTGATGCCTGATGTATGAAATATGATCACAATTTACTATAAGCATCTTAATATAACTTTACAAACTATGACAAATGTTGTTTATACATAGCTGCAGTTGTGTACTTCACAATACTTTCAGTAGTTATTGTTATCACGTTACCTACTAAAAGGCAGTAGTATACAAATAACGAGATGCGATGACTATCAGATGGCGCGGTATATTCACCTATCATTTACACCATTATGAATACAGGGAGATTTTTAATTGACGCTTGCAACTGAACACCAGTCAGAGAAGGCACCGTGCGGAGGCAGAGCTTTCCCACACTCAACGATGCTGAGTTGCCCTGTGGCCACCAAAAGCAAAGCCAACTCTAAACGAGGCCGAAGCAGGATATGCAGGGCAACGACTCGCTCCTAGACACTCTGAGGAGCTTCCAGGCACATGATGGCTGCAGCTGCAATGCCGGCAAGGCAAAGGCTGTGCTCCTTCCCGTCCAGCCAGGAGTTGTAGCGCACGGCCCATATTTGTGGGGTACAGGAAGAGCCATCATCTCTTCTAGCCCTGCTGGTATAGTTGGCTCTGCAGCGTAAGTAGTCTTCAGTGAGAGTCTAACACACCTCTCAAAAAGTCAATCCAAGAGCTAGCAATCAAGACGAGCAGCACATTTATTTGCCTTTCAGCCTTCGGGTATAACAATAGGTCCTAACTACATCTCATTGCTGCTGCTACTGCAAGAAGGAGTCTCCGGGCAGAGACATGCACAGGGCTGCTGCCAGCTGAACACCCAGGGGTTTATGCTGCTTTTGAAAGATGATGCCTGTTTTAGAGGGAGAGCTTAGTGCAAAATTTGACTCAGTAATCAGAGAGCTGTGAACAGTGCCAAACAAAAACACCCAAAGGAGGGGAGAATAACAGAGAATACCATTTATTTGCTACCAAAAAAAAAAAAAATCTAACTTAACACTGGCTCCTCTGGAAAGAGCTAAAAAAAGACAAGTTCAAACCTACAAAGAAAGAGGGAGGCATGGCTTTTACAGAGGAGAGGCAGGGAATTTCTACGGTGGGGTGCAGCATGGGGCTCTGACACCTTCCTCAGCATGGCTGTTCAGCCTAGACAAAGTGGCATGCTAATGCAGCTAGACTGCTTCTGGCATTTTTTACTTGCTCCATGCAGAGGAGTTCAGGGATTCCTATGTGGAGCCACAGAAAACCGGGCTGAAGGGGACCCCAGGAGACATTATCTTTTTCTTCTTCAGCCGCAATGCAGAATCACCTGTATCTGCTATTCCCGACAGATGATTACCTAACTTGTTCTTAAAGAGCAGTAGTAGTACCAAAAATTTCACAACCTCTTTCAGTAACCTATTCCTGTGCATAGCTACCCTAGCTGCTAGTAAGGTCTTCTTAAATCTAACTTCAGTATCCCTTACTGCACAGAGACATACCTATGGAGGTGGTACCTGGGAGAGTTGTACTTAACCCTAACTTTGCCACCTTGCTTTTTTCTCATTAAGTCTTCAATTAAACCAGTAACTATGTTTGGCATCATTATTATGCCAGTTTACTATATCTGGCAACTAGAGGCCAAAAGTTTCTATTTCTAGAGGACTAACATTCACAGCTCCATCTGAAGTCAAAATGAACCACAGTTGACCGAAACCCCTGGAAATCAGGCCCAAAGGACCTTAAGTAGAGCCCAAAACCCAAGAAGCCTAATGTAGGGAGTGCGTTTAAAAAAGCAAAGGTCCACTTCTTCACGTCTCATTTTTCTCACTGACACCAATGAAGATACCAATAACTTATTCCCAAAATCCAAAGAAGATTCATTGATTGATACTTCTCAATAAGTTTGCAAGCTTCAAATTAAAGGAGCAATATAGCTTTTATCATCAACACAATTTTCTACCCAGGACAAAACTTCTATACATTTTATATGGAGACCATTTGATTTTAATGCTACTAAATCATAATAATATGCTTCTAAATTCCTTATGTACTCATGTAATTATCTGCATGATGAATATTAAAGATACTTTTATTACCCCGTTCAGATCCTATTTCATTTTCTCAGATTTTAATATTTCTTTAAATGTAATGAAAACTTTCATGAAAACAAGGAAACTATCAACAAAAAGTGAAGAGTCCAGTACAGAGAACTGGTTTTTGTCTGCACTTCTAGAGGCCAAGAATGTGGAGATGTTGTATATGTTATTACCTAATACCTCTTGGGGGGCAAACGGGGGAGGGGCTCTTCACTTAAGCCAGTGGCTAAGAGGCAAGACCTGTGAGGAGCAAGCATAATTTAGAGATGTGCAAGTAAAATTGATAGCACCAATGGGATCCAAAGGAAATATTTATTTTTAATCTCTAATGTGTTATGAAGAGTAATGTTGTTTTATGTTATGTTACATTGTGTCGCGTCATATGTCAACTTGATGCAGTGCAGTTAAAATAAAAAAGAATGTATTTTGGATTGGATAGCTGAATGTCTCATCCAAAATTTGCTGTTTTCCTTAATAACCAAGGAAGTGAGGGAGGTAAAACCTCCTAAAAACAACCTGAATAACTGACTCTTTGATATCACTATGTAAAACATTTTAAAAGGTTTGTTAGAATTGTGGAGTTTTAAAAAAGCTACACCCTGGAAGAGTGTATGGGATAACCTGGACACCGCCAGTAAGAAGAAATGGTCAGCCTAGAAAGAAACCTTAAATATAGGGTGTAACAAGACAGCAAAAGGCAGGCAAGATGAAAGAAGTTCCAGCCATTTTTAGGTTTGGGATTGTTGTTTATTTTCTTTTGGGAAGGTTTCAATCACATAATGTTTTATGGTTTGGTTCTTTTTTTTTCTCCTTTTGAAACAAAACAGCCCTTCTGCTTGGCTGTTTTTGAGATCTATGGGAAGCAACGATTCTCTCGGTAGTACTGTGGGTGACTTGCACCTCTGTTGGGTTGCAATGGATCTGCATCACCAAAGCTACATTACCCAATGCAAACGTGTGAGTTTTGCTAGCCTGTGCTAATGAGGCAGAGTGCCGTGGTGAAGATCCTCCCTTCTTTTTTTACAGTAAATCCTTGCCTGCTTATTGCAGATATTCTGAGTCCCTGTCAGCCCTTTCTTAGGGTCTAGGAAAGAGACAAGAAAGGACAAGTGGATACCATACTTCCTCTAAGACTCTGCCAGCTTCCAACTGTTTTCAGCTTAGGGACTTTCTGAGCTAGACATGTTTTTTCTGTATTTACTAACCGTTGATGGACTTATTTTCCATGAATTTGTCCAGCGTCCCCTTGAACCTAGACGCATTCTTAGCATCTACAACACCCTTTGGTAAGGTGTGTGGAGAATTACAGCCTTTTGCTAGTTTCAAACCCAGCATTTATGGTATTTGTTTGATGATCTTTTGCTAATCTATGCACACGCACGCTTTTGCATGAAGGAAAATATACCCCTGTTTCTTCTCTATCCCTGAAAGACTCAGACTTTTAAAAGGAGGGCCCCAGCACTATGTTCTGAAGGCTGTGACTCTCACAGGGCCTGATGCAGTTAAGGCACTCAACTCTGATCAAACGCTATTAGGAGCTGGCTGCAAACACCTCTAAACCTCTTTTGGAAATCCTACATTTAGGCTCCTAAATCAGTTTTCAAAACTTCTGGCTCCAGTGAGAACTTCTGGGAGCTCAGCAGTTTCCACATTCTCTTTTTAAGCAACTATATACGGACTTCGCACTTTCACATTTGACAATCTTAAATTTCATGCATGACTCATGCAGTTTGCTCAGTTCCCACCTAAGGATCTAAAGCTTGCAAGCAAACTAATAATAGCAATATTCAGGTGCTAAGGTGAATACTACAGAATTATTGGACTGTTTTCCTTGTCCTTTACAAATCATGTGCCCAGTTCAAATAAAATATTGACTTTGCTGGGAAGGTAACTGTAGGCAAGGAGCACAGGGTTTGAAAGCACTACTATCTGTACACTAAAGTAAGATGAAACAAGCCACAGCAAAGAAAAGGACCTTTTAGTGAGTTTTAATATGCTCTCCTAAGGAAAAAAATATACATATATATATATGAAATCATGACATGTTTTGGCCAATTTGAATCAAATCTGACAGAGGGATAAAAGCATCAAAGACAAGGAAGTTCTAGTAAATGTTGGGAAAAGCCACTGGATGAGTAGAGGTGACAGATTCAAATAAACGGTTGCAAAAAAGCACCTTCCTGCCTTCGACCCAGTGCCCCCACTGCCAGAGAGACAGTATTTAGACCTCTATACATAATGCTCAGCAGAAGCCAGCCAGACAGTCGGCACACATCCTGACTGGCCAAAGAGCAGGAGCATATTGGCTGGCCAATTAGTGCACTTGTAGCTCCAGATCAGCCACAGGATATATTGTCTCTCACTGGGTTTATTATTTGTTGGGGTATAAAGGAAATGGGACACAAATCCATAGGAAACCAGGCTCTGTTAGTTCTGGTGCTCATGGAATAGCCTGTTTTATTTTTTCAGGACATCAGAGCAGTCAATTGAAGTCCAAGATGTCCAGATGTCTGGTCACACTCTTCTGGGCTTGTAGCTAGTTAAGAGTGGCCAAGAAAAATATACTTTAAATTATAACTAAAATCGGTTTGGACACTCTCTAAGTAAGGAGAAGAAGGAAAAAATAGAGGTTTACCAGTTAAGGGTGATTTGGTTGCACATCTATAACTCAAAAAGATCTCAGCTTTTTAAAAACAAAATGAAACTCTGAATGCAATTAGATCATACACTGAATTAAGCCCTAAATCAAACAGAACACATTATTAACTTTTGAAGAGTAGCTACAGAACATACATAATAGAATTTCATTAGCTTTTCTTAAAAAATGCATAGCCATAGACTACTTTCCTCATAATTGCTGCATAGTGCAGCCTGATATAATACACATTACAAGGTGTGGTGTCAAAAACTCCACAGGAGTCTTTATGGTCTATTTCATAAATAAAATAGCTACTCCAATTTGTTCAAATACATATTTGTACAGTAGACCATCACATTTGAAATGGCTGAAGAGGTAAATCACGAGCAGCATTTCAGTATGAATAAACAATTGCAGTCTTTTTTTTTGATGTATTTCTCCCAGGCAAGGAAATATCATCAGAAACAGAACCAACAGGGGCCTATGTTGTCCTTGAGTCCAGTTCCCTGCTGCCACGGCTATTTATGATGCATGACCCTGCTTTTTCTTTTCTTTTTTACTCTCAAAAGTCACCAATTTTTAAGCATTTCTATAAAAATAAATGAAAAAGAATCCTTACAAAGGAGCAGGTGAAAGTACCAATCTTTTCTCCTAAGGTTGGGTCTAAATGTCCTTGAGTTTGGTGACTTCAGTCATTAGCTCCAGTGGTTATTTTGTCAATTAAAAAAGCTTCAGAATGATTTGTGACGAGTAAAAATGTCTTTGATGCAAAATTAACCGTGTGTACCGCTAGACACAGATGACTGTAGTACACTTTGAAAAATCGTCATCCATAACGTCTACCAATCACTTAGGTATGACTGTGTTAGGATTACTGATCATTATTAACTGATATCTACATAGTCACAACAGGAATCTTTCACACTGCGTTCTATAACTCCAGCAAGGGCTATCAGTTCTTCTAAGTCAGGAAAAAAGATTTATCCTCCCTTGAAAATTCCCTTCTTTAGATTCGAGAGAGTCTGTTACTTGAACTTAGGTTTAGTGATTTCTTTTTTTAATACGAACATGACCTTCGTCTAACATAGGATTACTAATATATGGAATTGACGTCACTGGTGATTTTTTTGCATCAAGCCCAAAAGAGTATATTTCATTACATTTTTACAGCAGGATAAACTAAACTGTTGAATTTTCCACTGGTATGACCACTGTGTTTAATTAGTGATAACTGTACACCAGCCATGGAGCTTAAGCAGCGACATGCCAAAACTAACCAGAGTTAACTTCGGCAACAGTAGACAAAAGGGACTCACCAGCCCTTCAGGAGACGAGGTACTTTTTCTCTCTGCAGCAAACTGCTTTGAAAAATAATCTTTTTTTTTTTTTTTGGTTTAAAGCGTATCCTTTAACAACGTGACTGTTTTTGACCCACTTCATAGAAATTGGCTGCCTTTAACTGTACTCAAAAGCTCTCCTGTGTACAGTATGTTCTTGTACCTCCTATGTTGTTTTTACTTTGGAAAATTAATATCTGCTGGACCGCCAAAAATTTCTGGTGTGTTAATATGTAGAGAGCGAATCAGCATGTGTGGGTGGGAGGGGGAAAGGGCTTTGTACGTGCATCTTATCTCATCTGAAATGGGCTGAATTGGCAAAGCTTTTAATTACTGGGCTATCTGAGATAGTGATCATCACCGAAATCCTTATGATTTTGCCTTTGGCCTGTCTGAATGTTGTGATGAGATTTACAGCATTTCTGACTCAAGAGTGGAATTGGCTCCTTGCAAATGGTAACTGTTAAAACACTAATGGCTGTTACTGCAGTATGAGAGGACTTTGATTACATTACCTGATAAAAGCTGGGAATGACCCTTTAATTATAAAAGCTGAGGATGAGTTCATTATCAGCTCTCCTCCCAACGCTAGATGGATTCATACTGAGATACCCCTCCAAAAAAAAAAAGATCCATCTGTTTCATATGCAACGGAGGAGCATGCTTACTGCAGGACAGGGCAACGTGCCTCCCAGACTTACATATGGCCAGCGCAGTGCAGTCAAGACCCGTGAGGAGAGGCTAAGGGAATAAGCTTGTTTAACCTCAAAGCTTCAGGGCAACCTAATAGCAGCCTTCCCTTACCTACATGGAAGTTTCCAGGAAGATGGAGCCAGGCTCTTTATGGAGCTGCATGGCTGCAGGACAAGCAACAATGGTCATAAGCTGAAATAGGAGATTCCACTTTGACGAAAGGAACAACATTTTCACCATGAAGACAGTCAGGCTTTGGGACAGGTTGCCCAGAGATGTTGTACCATCTCCATCCCTGGAGGTTTTAAAATTCCAGCTGGACAAAGCCCTGAGCAGTCTGGTCTGAATTCACTGTTGACCCTGCCTTGAGCTGAAGGTTGGGCTGGAGACCTCCAACCAGAGGGACTGTGCATGCAAAAGCATGTGCATTTGTTTGGACTACAGACTACAGACTTTCCAGGTGTCAAGAAGGATCACCGTGTCCTCACACAGCCAGGATCCATTAAGGTGAATGGGTAGATGCTATAAGAGCTGCTGAATCACAGCCCAGATTCTCATGGTTTCTCTAGGACTCCTCTCTCTGCGCACTTGCTTATGGTCAGATACAACCATTCTTTAAAAATCAAACATAAGTTACAGCTGTGACTTCATTCATAGCAGGTATACAAACTTCATATGCTCTGCTGGCTGATGACGCTGTGCTTTTAATTTCACATCTTATAGTCATGACCATTTCTTTTTTATATCATCAGAAGTTCTGACCTTTAGTTTACCTGGTTCCTAGATGAGTTATTTTTACTTTCAACGTATATAATTTTTTGCCTCCTTCTCCCATGGAACTATTATCACAATTCATAGTTTGCTAGTAGCACTTCTGAAGGAGTCACTTTACTGTCTTCTTTTTAACCCCTTCCAGAAGAGGGTCTCCAGTGCTTTGAGGGAATGACCACGTTAGTTTACATCCCTCTCACAGAAAAATGTTCATATTACAAGAGAACACATGAGAAATGTTAAATGAGAATGAAACACAAGAACATAAGTAGGATTGAGATCAATAAATTCATGACAATAATGACATGTCATATTTGAGCAGAGGTCCCTGGAAATTTCTTCCCCCTTGAAACCGAGCATGCAGAAAATCAACTGCTGGTCAATTGAATCTTCTTTCATTTCTCCCTCTCCCTGGTATTCTTTGTTTCAAGACTTTCTGAGGTTATGTCACACATACTTCATTTCATTCTGATACTGAAAATTTGCAAACTAGATTCATTTTACCATAAGTTACATGTTTCAAAATAATTGAGGAACAGAATGGAGAAGCAGGGATTTAGTATTGACTGTGCAATCCAAGAGCACCCAGAATTGAGATGACCAGCAAAAACAATTTCCCCTAAGGCAAAAGAACAGATAACATTCTCCTTAAAAATCTGTTCCTTTTTTCAAATGCTTTTCTATAAATCATAAAGCCCCACTTCAGCAGTCTGTCCCTATTTGGCAAAATACTTAAACATGTCATTAATGAAACATGTAATTGTATACCATTAACTTCTGTGAGGCTAGGTCTCCTGCACACTTAAACAGGACAAGCGTACAGATAAGTATGTGGGTAAGTGCTTTGCTGACGAGGAGAGATCACAAGCGATGATCATAAGATGATCATTCCTCAGGTGAAGAGTAAAGGGATAAAAAGGCGATGTCTGAACTAATCACAGAGGGACAGCTTTCTATGGTGTCTTCCAGTGCTGTCTCAGACTACGTCTCAGATTTCTACACACCTCTTTTTAACTCTCACAAATCATCTGCATAGGTCTTGGATTATATATATACTTTGATTACGCTTCCCCCCTCTTGCATAGCTAAGTGTGTTACTTACAGGTACAAAAAGTATCAGCTCTATCCATATTGCAAATTTCACAGGCCAACTATATCCTACACAGAGCAACACCTCAAATTTGACATAACTAGTGGCATTAGGAGAAAACAGAATCCCCTTGACAGGCACTTCATTTTAAATTTACAGAGTTATGGAAGACAAAATCTGTGGCCAGCCATACCCACCTGCCCTTTAGCCGCCTCTAAAAGGAAGGCAGAAATGCAAACATAATTCTATTATATTTATTTTCTCTGAAAGAATAACAAAAAAAATTAAAGAATGTGAAGAAAGAACTTACTTTCAGTGCAAATAGGACAGCATCCTTTTCTGTTCAGGATTTTACCCTAATTGGGAGAAAGACAAGCTGATTTAATGAAAGAGTTTTTGGAGCAATGACTGTGTTATGTTGTAAGGCTGGATAGCCTTTGAAAATAGTTCCAGTTGTGTTTGAACTCAATGCCCTGGTTACAGTTTCAAATATCAGGTGCTAAAAACAGACAGAACTATTCAAAGAGCTTCCTGGCAGTCTTATAAGAAATGAAATACTAAAAGGGCTCTCTGTTACCACTTTTCTCTTTAGAGGGAGTGTGAGAGAATTTTGGACTCATGTATTCATGGATATCTAAAGCAAACCAGTTACCAAGATCACTATCTTTCCCCCACCTCCCAAAATACATACAGTACATATTTCTCATGCACACCCTTTATGTCTCTGCAGAGGTGATATGTTTCAAAAAAATGAAATAAAAAAAATCCCACTCATTTTCCCAGAAAAATGAATGAAGGAAGCATTGATACAGGTATAGTTTGGCCAAATTCCCTTCACAGGTAAATCTTGTGATACCTCTTAGCAAATCTTATTATGAACTCAGAAAGCATTATCTAAAAGCAAACAGTTTGGTCTAGTTGTAGTAATATGGACCAAAGGCTTGCGTCTTTACTTACTGCCCTGCCCAGGTCAATTTGCTTTACACTCGTGTCTAAAAGGAGGCTGGCTAGAAGTAGCAAACATATCTCTGTGTGTGTACGTACATTCATGCTCCTTTTTAGTCTTCACTGCATTAAAAGATGGCCTATCTGATTCTACTCAAATTCCCTAAAGCTAACATTCAAGCAATATGCCTGGAAAATTCCAGCCTGTCGTTTTCCAAGTGAAAACTGGCATGGGTTATAACAGAACCTACGGTGATACTGGAGCTCACCCACGTTCCCGTACAGGTTCGTAGGAGGCATATGGAGCTATGCTGCTCCCTGGCACTGATTCTGCCCTCCAGCGTGGTTGAACACAGAGCACATCCCCTTCACGAAGGGTAAGCAAATGGAGCTCTGATTTTCTTTCCCCTAAACATACTCAGCTGTGCAGAAAAGCTTATGAAGGACAGAGAAGGAAGAAGTGACACGTCTACGTGGAGAGGGGAGAAGTGAGCATACAGACAGTAAGCCCTGTTCCTATCTGCACTACTTTCCGCCTACGCTGCTGCAAAGTTTGGACACCGTGCATCAAGAGAAGTGAACTCAGGCTATCTGCTGGCAGGCCGGACTGCAGCACGCTCCTTCCCACTTGTGCCTGATCAGTCCCAGTCGCATGAATGACAGCTTGGTGCTGAGTGCCCTTGGGCTCATCTTCCTGAGGGCATAAAAGTTCAGTGTAAGCCTGTCCTTGAATCCACAGCTGCATCCAAACAGAATGGATGTGATGCAAGCCCAGACTTGAGAAATGGGTTGGATGTGAGTTTAACTGGCTATGGAGGCAACGGTTAGACATTTGTGTGACTACCAGGCACTCAGAGCAAAGAGAATAACTGAGGACCAGGCTGCAATAGGGAGTCCTATCAAGCACCTGCTAGGATAAGCCACATTTAACGAAGAAGTGTTAAGACTAGACAGAAATCCTAAGCCGGGTAATGCTTATTTGCACTAACAGAAGATGCGCAGCTGAATGTCACACACTGCACTGCGTAGCCTTACCTCTCTGTTTCAGTAAAAGAGTTGAAATCATAGCCAAGCTGGAAGTGGCAAGAAGTCAAGTGAAATTGTAATCTCCAAGGCAGCCTGCTGAGGCTGGTTACTTGAGCCACCATGTTGGCATGAGATCCTGTTTTTGTCTTGTAGAATAAGGAAACCCATTATTGCTAACATGTGCTGCAAGAGTTCGTTAGCATTGAGGGTTCCCTTAGGAGTGGGCTAAGTGATGTGATCCCATTTTTCCCCATGAATATTTATAAGTAGACCACATTTGAGTCTATTTATTTTCTGGGATTTTTCTTCTTTTTTATGAGGTTTTCAATTTTATGTCTGAAGGGTTTTTTTTCTTAAGGCAAGACTAATTAGGGGGGTTTTTGTTTGGTTGTGCAATAGCAACAGCTGTTGTTTTTTTGTGCCTCATTTGGCACTAGAGTAAAAACAGCAACTTTTTGTTTGTAATAATAACAGATGTGTATAACATTAAATGCTGTCTGTGCTAGGGATGAGAGAACGTGTTCTGAATAAATTTTCAGCCCACTTGAAGTTCACGGGTTCAAAATTTACCCACAAAATCAAGCTCTGCAAACGTCTTCACATGCCATGAATTTAGTTCTATTAACTTTTGCACAGCCTTGGAGCTCAGAAAAGGCTGTATGCTGTCAAATTTACCAGGATCTCCTGTAGCTGCACAAAAAAAGACTTTGCCATGACCACTGACCTTTAGCGCAGGCTGGCATTATCAGTGGGGATAGCAGAAGCATAAGGAGAAAAGGCAAAGTGGAAAACAGTAATAATGTATAAACGGATGTGCCCCATGGCACAAGAAAGAAAGAGGACAGAGTAGAGCTAGGGCAAGTGAATAGCAAATTAGGTAAGAAAAAGGCTAGAGGACATCTGACATTCAATCTTGCCAAGTGTTGAGATTACTCCCTTTCTATAAAGTATTTAAGCATGTGTTTAAGTTTAAGCACACATGGAGGGCCTACTAACTTCAGCAGGCCTGGACACATGCTTAATAGCTTTACTGGACGGGGGCCAGCGTGTACTGCACCTTGCAGGCTGACGCTCCAGGTAACCAAGAGAGGGAATATATGCATGCAGTCAGTGGTTAGAAAGTAAGAAATAGAAACCACAAGCCACAGGGCTCACTAGAAGCCCAGGCAAGACTGATTTTGCTATCAATATCACAGGAAGGCTTGAAGTTAGGAAAGATACATTGCCTCTGCTGCAGATGAAAAGAGGCTAAGAAGGACACTTTCTACAATTACTGAAACAGAATTAAATGCTCCAAAAAGAAAAGAAAAAAAGAAACAGAAAAAAATGCCAAACCCTATGAAAAAATGAAGTAGATGTCAGAAACAGTCTCTCAAAATACAGCAGCCTGCAATCAACACATCTAGTAATGCCAATGGCTGCACGGCATAGGAAATTTCTGCAGAATTACCACTTTGAAACCTATCCTTTCCAAGGAATAATAGGCTCAAATTTACATTGATAAATTAATTAATATTCCATGAGAAAAAAACATCATGCAAAGACTATTAAGAATGGATGGTAAAGCATTTAAGTCAAGGAATAACACTTTAAGTTTGCTTGTGAATCACATACTCTCTCACACTCAGATGTGTGCATCGTAATACAGTTTTAGTGATAAAACTTCACGGGGCCTCACATTCAAAGGGACACCAAATGACATGTTGTTCCACAGCAGTCCTCAATTGCCAGTAGAGACTGCTTACTGCCAGAAGTATTGTGAATAGAGTAAGGTAATAGAGCTCACACCCTTAACAAATCTCAGCAACAGCAGCATAACCTTATGCATGATATCCAGACACTCAGTACCAGAGTCACTAATATATATTTACCTTCAGTGATGTGGTGTGTTTAATTAATGTTTACAGATTGGTGACACAATATCTCATCAGCGAGTGGAGCACAGACAAGAAGTAGAAGGTTTAAATCTATTAGCATACATTATTTGCTTTAAAATTACTTAAGCTGGTACCACTTGGAACAGGAAAATATATTTCACCCTAGAATTTAAATTCTTTATCCTACTTCTCCTTAGCTTGAAAGAGGAAAAATGTTACTTGTACCTGTGGAGGAGGGGAGGAGGGTGTTTGTATGAAGCTTGCTATGGACTCCATTTTAAGATAGGGACAGGCTGACTGGTTAGATACTACGAGGAATGGTGCTGTGGGATATCAAAGCTGGTTTTTTCAGACCTAAGGAACTGGTTCTTGTCTGAGAATTCAACTTAGACGTTTAGGATAGCTTAGAAATTCACATTAGCCTTAGCAGGGATCATATCACAGCACTGAAAGAGTTTGTAAGCAAGCCAGTTATGCTGCCACAGGATTGCGGATGGTGAATTTTCACTCACCAGTGTTTTCACTAATTGTCTGTAAGCAACAAAGCAGCTAACATGTTTACAGAAGCCACTTTGAATAGTCATCTCAATGCTCAAATTCAAATATAATAGTACTGAAGTTGTATTTCACTTCAGAACTATGTGAAGTCATACATTTTGATACCGGAAGAGTCTTAAATGTTTGAAATGCATCAGAACAGGGAAAATGTAAATGGGTGCAGTGCGGGCCAGGCTCCTGGACAGCAAAGGATTTGAAGGGACCCGAAGGACCCAAGCTCTCACCTCCTGCTTATCCTGTGAATAACCTGAAGGGAGGAAACCTGGTTACCAAGGGCCTCTTCAGGTTCCCAGAAGAAGAGCTCCTTTTGTTCACACCTCCTAAGGTGCATGTAACTTCTTGTGTGAGGCCCATTAGCAGGAGAACTGCCCTCTGTGGTGAACTAGCAAAGGAGTGCCAGGGTGACAAGGAGCAGGATATCCCCTTTTCCGAGCAAACAAATAGTTCTTGCAGCCCATGGGCACAGCAGAACAGCGAGCACCAAGACACTGGCTCTCTATTCTACCTCTGCTCCTAGTTGTCAAAAGTTCACAAATATAAAGTTTTACAAACTCAAGTTTGTCATTTACAATTTTCTACCTAGGTGTCTGTGACTCATATTTTCCCCGCTAGCTTCCAGGATGGAGAAGGAAACATTGAGAAGGTGTAGTGCTAATGACTTGGCTCCCTCTCCTGCAGTGCTGTTCAGAGACCTGCACCTACATGAGATGCTATTTAGAGCTCCCTCTTCTGAAAGCTTTAGCCATTAAAACAAAATCTGTAGACAACAGGCATCCAAGAAACAAAGGCAGACTTCAGCTCAAGGTTTCATTTAATGCTAATTTTGAAGCAATTAAGCAAAGTTATAATTACACCACTCTTCGGGTTCACTTCAGACTTCAACATAAAAAATACTCAGGCTGTAACCTCATGGTTTGATTGAAATCATTTGCTTTGCTTTGTCTAATTTACATGTCTAACCAAGTGATTAAGTCCCATTTGCACTGAGAAAAGCAAGCACAACCTCTTGTGCCCTAAAAAAACCACATGCTCTTGATCTGTTAACCCAGTCATCTCATCATTCTACAAAGGTATTACATATATGTGAAAGAGACGCTCTAGTGCAAATATTTGGGATAGAGAATGGGAAAGGGAGGAGGAGAAAAGAAGCCTGTACTCTTCAGAGCAAGGACAGAGGCAGGAAGCCCGTGTACAGGGTGGTGATAGCACACTTCAAGAACTCCAGCTTAAGTTAATCTGCCAGAGGATTGCTCCTCCTCAGTCTGCATGCCCCCCTGCCATGCACATGCTACTGTGAAACACTGACAAAGACAGTGGTGAAGAAGAAAAGACAAGACTGTTATATCCTTTTAAAAAACTCACATTAGGACAGCTGTTGACTGGAACACACTGTTTCTTGCGACATTCCGTCTTGCCTTTCACACAAGCACAGATGGTGCAGTTAACAGAGGACCACATCTCTCCATCCTGCAAGAGGGAACATGATATAGTATCAGCTGAGCTGGCAACAGGAAGCTATTCCAGCAATGTATCATTGCACAAGAAAGGATGGCTTTCCCTGTTGGCATTGTGTCATTGTTTAGTCTAAATTATTTTGAGGTGTCTGTCCACACCCAGTCGGATTAAAGACAACGATCAAATTCAGCAGGGATTTCTTCCCTTTGGTCCTCCAGGTCAAAAATTCATTCTTCCATGGCTAATCAAATCACATTTGCATTTTCCATCAACGTCCTGATTAGCTGCATTGTCTTCTCTCCAGTTTGTGTCTGAGATGTGATCCCACCTATCACGAATTTTCATTTAAGCTGACATAATTAGAAAAACCTGATTCATTGGGTTGAGTGACATGTTTAAGTTTTTGCATGTTAAAGCATTTGATTAAGATGTCAGCATATACAGTGAATTTATTCCCAGATGTGGCATCATTTTGGCTAACGGCAGGAACGGCCGAATAATGAATTCTAATTCAGATTACTTACAGCACTTTCACAGACACTTGATCCACTAAACATCTGAAAATGTTTAGAACAGATACACTGCTAAACTCCCCAAATGTATAGCAGGTAAGACAGTCTGCGGTTCTTAAAATATTAGTTGCAGAACAAAATATGCCTCACAATCTTGTCCCCACTTACTTGGGAAAGACTGCCTGTGGAACTGCCCTGGCTCATTTCTATAGAGCTTTGCCTTTGCCAAGTGTGATTCCTAAAGCATTCTGTCTCACCCACTTTGCAGTCTTGTGCTTGCCCATTTAGAGCCAAAATGTGCATATTTTCTGTTTACAGGACTGCTGTGAAGGAAGGGTGAGGATAGACCTGACAGAAACAGAACAGGCAGTCCAACCAGACAGCTGTGAACAATTATGTGCCCACCTCAACATGATGTTTTGACCAGATTGAAAAACATACTAAATCTCAAATGCCAAGCAGACTGACTTATTCTACACATGCTTGGTTAAAGGCTGTCTCTCCCTTGTCTTCTGTTTCCAGGCTATGTTAAGATTGTCTGGTGTTTCTGATGCAGCACATGTTCTCGTGGGCCCCTAATGACTGTTCACTAAGCATCTGCTAAGGTGCCAGAAGGTATGATGGCTAACTGTAAGCAGCTGGCCTTACAGCAGTGGACACAGCTTTGATCTAAGGAGGAGACTACCTAGACTTCCCATGAACCTGTGCCCATTCCATCTGTGTTGCACCATTAACTTCAACAGAGTGGATGTAGTGTCTCTCTACTTTTTCTTCCTATATATAATACTTCCTCATATAATAAGATCTTCACAAGAAACAAGAGTATTTTATTTGGGTGCCTAGGAAGCAGACATTTGTTCCTGAAGTACAATACCTGGGTGAAAGTTCCAATCAGATCGAGTATAGTCTCCTTGTACCTATTGTGTTCAGAGGGTTTGTTCACATATAATTTCCAGAATAAACACTTCAGCTACGTACACAAAAGATGGAATAAATGGGAAGTAATTCTGGCTGAGCAAATCAAGTAGCCACAAGAGATTTAACACATGATCTGATTCGAGGCTCTCTTAATGCACAGATGGCCCAGGAGGTGACAGAATCTTTTCTGACACAGTGTGAAAGAAACTGCACCACTTGAAAAAACAAACAGGAGCTCAGCAGTCTGAGAAGCGTTTTGCAGGGAATCCCTTCCGATTTGAAAACATTGGGTGATAGGGCAGTAGGTGATGGTTATTACATGGTTTCCCAATATAGGGTGTCAGGGTGCTGTCCTTAGCAGAGCTGCGGTAATAAATCTCGATGAGTAACTTCCAGCCAAGACAGTCTTAGCACAGCTTCTGTCGTCTCAGCTGGGGAAGAGACTCCTTGGCTCAGCTGATAAAGCCTACAGACCTTTGCTTTGCTTTGCTTTCCTTTTCCATGAGTATCAGCATTTGTTTGGAAAGGTAGAGCGTAATTCTAACTAAAAATGCATTACTTGTCATGAAGCAGCAGTATGAGTCTCTGTGTGGGGAGAGGGAGACACAACGCCACATCAAGGAGGAACTAATCTTAACTTCTGTGGAACAGTAGAATTCACACAGACTCCAAAAGAAAATAGCAGATGGCAGATTTTGCAAAGCTCTCCCTCTGAGCTGTTCCATCTTCAACCAGGATGGTGAGGATTCTGCTAAAAAGCAAACCACAATGCTAATTTACAGTAAACCCACGCTTTTTCAGCTCTTACAATGGCATCTGTTTTTAAGCCACACCTGAAACGCTACCTGGAAGATCTTATTGCCGAACTTGCACACTTTCACTTCCTCAGGAGAGATATATGATACACATTCCTTGCAGCACTGGTCTTTGTTTTTATTGCATTCTCCAGGTAGTAAGCATCTCTTCTTACATATCACTGTTGAATCCTGGGTAAAAATACAGAAGGAAGTCATGAAATCATCACAAAGATGTTTGTGCTCCTGTATGTCCTTATCATAACATTTCTATTTGCTCAGCCATTGCATCCACCCGAGTTACAGCATAAGTGCTTTGAAAAGGTCAGCTCAGGGAAAACAAAAACAATTTACTGGTTTAAAGGAATCTCTCTCAGTCTGTGATGCTAAAGCCCAGCTTGCACTTCTGTTGGCCTGCAAAATATTAACTTTTTGATTTGGCGACACTTTACATTTGTTATGCCTAGGTGCCAAAGCAGAAGTGATCATAGTCATGTTAGAGCAACTAAAAAAATCACTGTTCTTCAGCAGAGATGTGGAAACTCGCCACCTACTAACTCTTCTTCCACTATCTTTATTTTGCATTACACATAATCAGGTATCATGTCTCAGCTGAGGCAGCCAGTAACTTTTTAAACTTTCCTAGCACAACTGCAAGTGCTTTTCAGATCAGACTCAAGGACCACACAAGATGCTAAAGCAGAACGGTATCAGGCCTTATAGTTCTCCAGTGTTACAAATTTCTGCCAAGCCAGACAAACAGCAGCATACAATACCAAAGCACTGTGGCCTTACCTTGCATGTACACATTGTGCAGTTGTCATAAATAAATGAGGACCCATTATCATACACGTTGCTATGAAAGAGGCAGCTTCCAAATGGGAGGTCAAACACTTTCCTCTGTCCTGAATACAGACAAACAGTAATAGAAACAGAACGTAGTTGAAAAGATGCCATACTGTCAACAAAAATAGTAGGGCTTATTGTCACCAGACCAAATTCATGTGCAATGTGTCATTTGCTGTGTGTTTCCATTTTAGTGTGAAAAAAATATACTCTTTTAACAGTTCACTGTTCCTCTAGCACACATTCATCTGTGCAAATTCTACTCTGGGAGGGAATATAAATATGATTTATGGCATGTTTATGTTGGAAAAATCCTTCTACTCCTTCTCATCATAAAGTGCACAGTGTACCTAAACGAATAAAAAGTAAGCACTGCAAGCTCTTGGGGTAGGTACACTTAAACTAGTTTAAACAATCTGTAACTTAATGCAATAGCTTATCAAATAAAGCAGCCTAGACTCGTTTTAGGATATCTACCTCAGGGGTTCACAGCAGCCAAACTAAATCAGTTCAGTTACACTGACAAAAAAAATGCACGTTGCCCAATCTCATTAAGGCAGCATGATGTACCATGTTCAAACATAGTTGTCAGAATTATAGACATTTACGTAGTTTATAAGCAGAATAGAACCAACACGAAAAATAAAGAACATCACTGGGAGATAATTTACCTTCCATATTCTATAAAAAAACTGGATTTCATGAGAGCACGACAAAGTTCAGAGCAGTATATGGGGAAGGTAGTATCACTATCAAATCCTTCTGGAAGTTGGGCAAGCATTGTGAAATCCAAGTTCCAATACACTTTGCTGTACTATAAGTTTCTCTTCTGTTCTTCAGCTTCCTTCCTAATAAGGTCTTATAAACAAGTGAAGGCCTTGCACATACATACACAAGTTTTTTACAGAAACTCACAGGAAATCACTATTTTCACTTCACCCTTTGCATACCTCCCCCATTTACTTTTGGTGGCAGCTACCTAAGTCCCTTTTCAAGAGGCAGCCAGTCCCTGGGCTTATCATTTCTGAGAGCTGATGATAAAAAGAAAGACATCAGTTCTGAGGTAGAAAATGGCCACTTTAAGTACATGCAACAAGCCGCTAAATATTAGGCCAATAATTTAGTCCTTACGCTGCCAAGTCAGCTGGCAGGTTCAGCTGGAATCACTGAAGTTTGTCCCTGTGTTCTAAACTGTATGTAATTCCTTCTCTTTTTAATAATTCTTGATGAAGGCAGGACTGCATAAAAGAAAAAGCTTCCAGTTTGCTCTAAAATATAAGTGAACATAAGGATAAGCAGACAGTAAAATCCATTGAATTAGCCTTGAGTTTTCGCAAATGTTAATGTTAAAAGAACTACTAAAAATGTTAAGAAACAATTGCTGTAGTTCACCAAGATGTGATGTAAACATCTCTCTTTTGTAAATTAGCTACCTTGGACTAATTCACGCTCACATCGTCAAACTGCCTTTTACTGAACATGCACCCTTTCAAAAAAGCTTAATCTCTCTTGCAGGACTGACATATGAGATCAGCTGACGATGCCCAGTAGCCCTAAATGGAATGCTTCCATGTCCATGCACTGCTTATGGGCAAAGCCTAACCATATCTCTGTCAGTAACAAGGCTGCTGCTGCTCAATGTGGGGCCAGGACTTCAATCGCATAACTTAATGCCAGCAAGCAAACAAGAGTCCAGTTCGCTCTCATACCATCTTGCCTTGCAAACCACCCAACGCAATTCAGGGTGGCCAACCCCGTTCAAATAGTTAGTTAAAAACCACTGACAAAGGAGCTACCACTTTAAAAGATGTGGTGATGGGGATCTGCTTTGCTGGCTCATAACCATTACTTAAACCAATAATTCCAGACCCAGGAGAGTCAAATGCATTCTTCCAGGCTATATAGGCTGAACACCAGGAATTCAATTGCAGGGAGGTCCTTCTCATGATACTTTAAAAACCATGCCTCAGCATCCCTGAAAATAGTTCCCTTTCCCTAGTGCCGCTCAGTTTGCTACACATCCCTTGGCTCTACTGTACTCCAGAACTTCCAACATTTCGCTGTGACTAGACATCGCTACTGATATGCATCTCTGGCACTTGCTGTAAGAACAAAGGCCCCATAAAATGGAAATGGTTGTAATTAGTGAATTCATTTACAGACATTTCTAGGAGCAAAAAGTAGGCAAAGGATCAGAGATGGCTTTTGAATGTCCAGATCAAGGAGCGGAAGGTTGAGGTAAAGAGGACAAGAGGAGTTTGAAGAAGTTAAGAAAAATATGTTCTCAACCAAAAAAGAAGCACAGCCTCTGGACTGTCCTTGGCTCTAGTTGATTCTCCTACTTTACTGCTCTCTGGTGCTGTGGTTAAATGTTCCAGGCAGATATTTACTTGTACCACTTCTCAACTAGTTAAAAAATAAATAAATAAATAACTTCAGGTTTGTTTCAAGCAATCAAAAATGTTAAGTATTATGAGAAGCGGGAGCTCTCTGCGGCTCAGTGCCTCCAAGGTTAGGCTCTCTGTTCACTAATCCAGCCCCGTAAAAAGACTTCAGATAGTAGTAAGGATACAGCCAAGACAACAAAAATGTTTCTGTTGAAAAACTGGGAAATATCAGCTCTGAAAATGTACCAAACCTAATTACAACCTCATAGACCAAATTAAACTTAATTTTTGTGGCAGGAAGTAAGCACTGCTTCTTTATGAACTACAGCAACGCATGATGAGGTTTAGTTAACCTGTGGAATGTGTGGAAATGATATGAGCAAAATAAGGACTGTCAGAAGTCATTGCCTTTCTTGGAATGACTTGGAAGAACTAGCCCTTCTCAGAGGCATCTGACTTATTCCTTTAAAATGCGTTGGAAAGACATAATTGAAAATATTCCTGGCTGAGATCGTGATTCCACCTTAAGATGGCAACAATCAGGCAGACTCAAAGGTCCTTGGCCTCTCTGACAACAGCTTCCGAGAATGCAGTTTCAACCCAAAAGTTTCCTTCGACCTGCATTTCCTCAAAACCAAGAATGCAAATGCACACTTGAATAAAAATATGAGAGGGTGAGGCCTTTTTTTTTTTTTTTGTGGCAAATTCCAAAAAAGTATTTCCTCCCATCTCAATTTCCTTCGAAAACATGTAATGAAGGTGGGAAACATCTCTATATTCGTTTCTCCAAGCAAGTCATTTGCCCTATGCTCAAATGCTCTTCTGCAGCTGCTTCCTTAGTATCATCCATCACAGTCCTGCCACACCAACCCTGACCACCTTTTACTACCTGTAGATTATAAACTCTCCTGAGGAACACTGTTTCTTCCACATCCCAAAATTTACCAGCGCTCTGAAGTACTAGTACAAAAGACACCACGCAGAAACAAATTACATTATGCACAACATTCCCATGAAAGCACCACTCACCTAAACATTTGGGGCAACACTGTCCAGCAGGCATGTGACTGAGATGCTGGGGACAGGAGAGAATGGGGCAGACTTCTCGGATGCACTGTGTTCTGCCTCCCTAAAGGAAAATAGGCTCAGTCAGAAAAAAATAAAGCAAAATGCCACGTACGCATGTATACACACCCATACAACCTTGTAACAAGTCTTGAAAAGCCTTAACCAAAGCAGAATTTTCCAATAGAAATTTCTACTCATATCAGGCATGCAAGGATTGTGTACAACTGTCATTCAACATTTTCTACCTTGTGTACAGAGCTCTTGGAGTACTTGTATTTTTCATTCCCTCAAGCAGTGAATGTAACAGTTGCAGAAACAATATCTTTTTAGCTGACGGCTTGGTGTGGATATGAGAAAACCAGAGAGAACAAAATCATTACCCTTGAACCTTTCTAGATATTCAAAAAAGTTACTGAGTAATTTTTTACAGTATTCTTCACCTCCTGTGCCATGCCCTTCTCGGCTTGTCTGGACAGGGATTAAGTGCTGAAGTAAGATGAGAGCAGGTGTTCATCTATTCTGTCCATGACCTCAGAAACCAAATAAGCCAAAATCATTCAAGAAAGCACATTCTTGTTAGCCTCCCAATCCAACTATGCAAACCCAGAGGGTTTCCTTTCTTCAGAGGACTGAAAACCAAAAGGGTATATGCGATTTTGAGAATGAATGTAGTGAAAAGAAAAAATGAGTATCCTGGACTGGATATATCCTGAAGAATCAATGAATATCAGGAAACAGAGAGAGGTAACAAGAACAGCAAAGACAAATATATAAGATCCATTAACTACAGTCAGTCAAAAGAGAACTTTATTCTTTATTCTCATTTTGCTCTGTTGCCTAAATACTTAATTGTGTTTACACAGTACTGTGTTCACCTCTACTAAAATGTGCTCCAAACACTCCTGAGAGATGTCCAGGTTGCTACACTTTAAAGATCAGTCTACTTTTGCCTTAACAAGAGAAGTCAGTCCACTTACTCTAATTGCTCTGCCTGATTTACCACTCAGAGCAGTAGACTCATCCCAACAATAAGCTTTGTGTTCCTAGATGCTGTGATGGAAGAGTTATGAACAGTCTCCTCCCACGT